AAACAGGCCCATTTGTTGTCAAAAAATGGCATGGGTAGCCTTTAGCAGGCTTATAGAGTGCTCCTGGGGGCTGGGGGGGGGGCAAAATGAGCAAAAATGGCCCATTTTTTGCTCATTTCTGCCCTCCCCAGTCCCCAGGAGCTCTCTGAAAGCCTCCTAAAAGTTATGCATGGCCATTTTGGTGAAGGGGGTGGGGTTTCAGGAGGCAAAAAATCCTGTATTCAGTGTATAAGATGCACCCGGTATTTTTTGAGGGAAACAGGTGCGTCTTTTACTCCGAAAAATACGGTATCTTTCAAGCCACCTAAAAGCTAATTTCAAAAAAATGTTGAACTATTTCAAACTATGTGGCTTTTATATGACATACGTCAGAGATAAGAAGGTTTGGGTATCATCTCTAGGCACTTACAGGGGCATAGGGAATAGCAGTAGCATTTAAACTTATGTACCACCCCATAGCACTTAACAGGATTCTCTGAGCAACGCAGAAGCATTTTTTGCATATTGCCCCTAACAATTGGGGTCCTCATTTTACCGACCTCAGAGGGATGGAAGGCTGAATCAACCTTGAACCCTGTCAGGATTGAACTCCAAGCAATGGGCAGAGTTTGCCTGCAATACTGCACTTTCACCACTGTGCTACCAGGGCTCTTAGAGAAGTTTATGAACCAACCATAACACCAAACAGTATTTTTTATTATTAGCTAATATCTTCCCCCTAGAAATGTTGTAAAGAATGACTTCGGTCAACATTACAGCAATGGTCAAAAGGCCAGGAGCAAAAGGAAATGCTGATCCTTAACAAACTGCATTTGAGCCCCTGTGAACTTGGGAGAAAGTTTTAGGAAGCAGGGTGGCACAAACCTGGAAGAACGTACCAAGTTGTGTTCAGGGGTGGGGATGAAAAGACATAGAAAGAAAAAGGGAAGGAAGTTACCCAACTGCACACAGAAGATGTTTTTTTTAATGAGGGCAGGAACAGAGGGTGTTACTATGGTCAGATAAAACAGAATACCTTATAGCCTGTTTCAGGAAGGGCTGATTGATCCCAGGTTGAAGGAAAGTGGAAGGTAAAAGAAGATTCAAAACGGCAGCTGCACATGGGAAATAAACAAAGAGCATTACTGTGGAAATAAAGAAACAAAGAGCATTACTGTCTCACTTAATTTCCAATTTTCTCTTTCTATTTTGGAGCAGACCTCCCCAATTCAGTAATCTCTGCAGTTTTTTGGCTAAAATATTCATGTGGCTGGAAGTGATGAAAACAGTAATCTAACTCAGTGGCCCCCAACCTTTTGTGTATCAGGGACCAGTTCCGCAGAGAGAGGTTTTTCTGCAGACCGGAGGGGGTGTGATTTTGTGTGCTGCCTGCATCCCGCAGATGGGCTTTTTTTTCTTTGCGCAGCCAGGTTTCTGGCATACCGTGGGTCCATGGACCAGGGTTTGGGGACCCCTGATCTAACTCTCTGAAAGGTATCAGGCAGTGGTGGGATTCAAAAATGTGGGATTCACCCCACTCTAGGAAAAGGATAAGGTCTTGCCAAATGGTGCTCCTAATAAATAACTAGTTTTCTTTTGAAAGTTGGCTCAAGGCTCATGAATCAATTAGGGCATCTTTCGGAAACCTGACACATAAAATCTCCATTCCCTCCCTACTCAAGGGGAAGGATAATGCAAAATCCCCATTTCCTCCTGATCAGCTGGGACTCAGGAGGCAGATAATAGATGGGGGCAGGGCCAGTCAAAGCTGATATTTACCGGTTCTCCAAACTACTCAAAAATTCCACTACCAGTTCTCCAGAACTGTCAGAACCTGCTGAATACCACCTCTGGTACCAGGTCAAGAAAAATGATGTTAGTTCCTCAAACTAATTTTTCCAACTGTATTTAGCCTTTCCCAGAGTGGTGCAGTGGCCTAGAGGTGGAGCTCTTGCCTCACAATCAGGAAACTGTGAGTTCAATCCTAAGTAGTGGCAGCTATTTCTCTCTCCGGACACAATGAGTAAATACCAGCTGCGAACTCTGCATTGGTGACAGGAAGGGCATCTGGCCAGTAAACACTCTGCTCCATTCAGTTGCCCCGACTCCACCCTGAGCCAAGGGATTATGGGGTCATTAAAAGAGGGGAAAAAAGCCCTTTCACAAGTTATTGAAAGCTACTAGAACTGGAAAGCTATTCCTAATCTCATCACTTTTATCAGACCTGGAAGTCATCTTTTACCTTTTGGATTTCTGGCCTGCCACATTTTCTACTATGGGAAAATGGGAGGGGGGGATTATAGAGAGTGTGGGTGATATGTAGCCATAATAACATTCTTGCTCAGAAAGTCAAGGTCAACTGGCCCTACAGCTGCAATGAGATGACAGGGAGGTAACTCCTGGTTTGGAGTGTTACCTGATTGGAGAGTTACCTGATTGGAGAGTTATCTGATTGGAGAGTTACCTGATTGGATCATGTGATGGACATGTGGGTGCTGGGCAGGGTCTTGAACTTTCACTTGGGTGGGGAAAACTTGGAAACTTTCAGATTCATATTTTCCCAGATGTGCCAATATGACATCTCTAATAAAAGGAAACTTTGAAGAAACTCAAGTCTCAAAGTCTTCTTTCGTTATGGGTGTTACTTGGAACTCTGACATTAA